AGTCTTATTTTTCTAAAATAATAGGAATAATTTTTTTAGTAAAATAAAAAGAAAACTCTAAATAAAAACAAATACAAAATTGTAGGGCATGCATTTTTAGGTATTTTTATTTATCCTATAAATTTTACAGGATGAAACTTGTAAAAATATTTTCTTTTTGATTGTGGCTATTATCTTACTAAGTAATACTATAAAACTCTTGTAGTATTAAGTTATAACAGTAGCAATGCCTACATTGTGTTGGTGAAAAGCTTATGTCTTCGTATAAGTGGTCGCGATTATTCATCGAAAGAAACATTTCTCATACGCCCTGTCAGCCACACCCCAAAGCTGTGTGTGTGTGAACGTGGCCATAACAAACACTCGCACAAAGCAAAACCGACCCAAATACACAAAAAAAGGCAACTGAAAATGAATAAAAATGGGCGTGTCAGACGAGTTGCAGACAATCAGAGAGCACATTTGGAGATTGCCGTGCATTTCTAGGCAGCAATCACCACCATATGCTAACTTTGATTACTTCTTCTGGATTTTATCACCGCCTCCCAATCCTCAAATTCCCAGCTATTCCTGGAGAAAATCGTAGGAAAAGGCAGGCAGGGAAAGCGAAGAAGAAATTGTATTTCATTTTCCTGGGCCTGAGAGCAAAGACGGAACCGGATATGCGACATTTTATCAAGTCAGGCATAAATCAGCAGCTTATGCTGGGATTCCAGCGGGAGATGGGCGAGTACCAGTTCCTCGCCTTGGCCCGGGTTTCACTTGCGTTTACTGCTGCTATTGCTGTTGCTGTTGCTGTTCTTCTGCATGTTTGAAACTGGCAAATAATTTATTTTGCATAAATTTGCCAGCACTTAACGATGGGGATCTACGCCACACCTACGAGAAGCGAAGAACGAGTGCGAGGAATATGTTCCGTGTGCGGGTCACGCTGAATTATGCCATCTAATTTGTCTGCAGGCAGGTGGTGCTCATTAATCTTTCCTCGCTTATGAGCGGCTCCACCATCTCCGTATCCGCCTCCGCCTGTTTTTTTTCTTGCCACACTGCCACAGCACACTCCTGGGATTCTGTGCCGCAGATAAGCTCTTCGCCTTTGCAGCGCGCTCACGTAGCGGGTTTGCGATTTCCTTTGCCCGCTTCGGTGCCAGGCGAAGGATTTTACTCGGCGATACCCTTTCAGCGGGCTTAGTATGTCACATATACTGGGTAAAAATGAATTTTATTTAGGGAAATAGTCGAAATGACGAAAAAAAATAATTATTTTTGATATTTCCCAAGCATTTGGACTAGATTCTGTTCAATTTTATGACAAACTAATATAAAAAAGTGTATAATAATAAAAAATAATTCCATCAAGTACATTCATAAAAAATATGTTATTTTGGGCAGTGATAGAAACTACGTTATATTATTTCTTTGCAGATACTTTACGAGCAATCTTATTATGTTGTTAATGGATTACAACTATTTAGATTTAATTCCATTTTGGTTTTAATATTGTAGGATTGCGGGTCAAAAAAACATATTTTAAGTTTTAGGATTACATCCATGGATGGGAAAATAATAAAATAAAAATAATATACAAGTAACATATTTTAAGCATCATATTTACATACCATACATCAACAAATTAACCAATTATATATAATTTTGCCTAAGAGAGACTTCCGAGTGTTCCTAACCATGTGGCAGAGTATCCATATATCCTGGGTAAACAGGACTCCTGCAACTTCACCCGCATAGTTCCGTACCTGACTCCCGCTTAATGCTTAATGGATTTGCGCTTTGATGTGCCAACTGCGTGTACGTGTATCAAAATCGTACTGTGGTGCTCTGTATGTGTGTTTGTGTGTGTGTGTGTTTGTTGGCCTGGTTGTAAGTGGTTAAGTGTCTATATTAGACGCCATCACTTGCAGTCTCCCATTTCTAAGGGCCCGATGGTATTTTTTGGCCGTGTTTTTTGGTCCATTTTACTGCAGAGGTGGCAAGCATAAATTTCCCTCTAAATGGCCTTATGAGGGCGGCCTCGAAGCTGATCCTCTGTTTATGACCTGGCCAAATGAAATGTGAATGGGAGTCGGATTCGCATTTGGCCATAGCAGCCGGTGAGTGAGAGTGGCTCGTGTTGGCCCTTTTAAATTAAAAATCCTTCCCGTGGCTTCTGTTTGGGCCGCCCTGAAATTGAATTTTCCTTCCGTCCCGGTTTGATTAGCATAAAATGCGGTACGTGTCTTGGTTAGACTGGAAAACGTGAAAAACGTGTGGTGATGATGATGATGGGCTTGTATTGAAACCATAGAAAAAATAAAATGCTTTTTTCAAAGAATTTTTATTTCTGTTAAAATTTAAATTTTTTTGCACACCACATTATTTTTTTATCATTTATCATTTACTTTTTCCGGATCTCATTTTTCTTCAACATTTAAAAATTCGCTTTGTTTGTAAACATTTTTTGTTTTCTTTTATTCTTGACACGTTACTTACAACTAGTGTTGTAGAAATGTTTTTCCACTGCTTTCGGCATTTAACTAATAAAATTAGGTTGTTCTTCAGATTATTTATATACACACAGATTTTAGTTCCAAGTATTTTTGTAATTTACGTTCAGCCGGGTTCTCATTTCCTGTCTGTGGTGGGTGATTTCATTCAAAAGGATTTAATTTTTCAATCGATTTCTATATGCAGTGGTTTTTGCATTTACCGGACTAATCTTAGTTATTTGCTAGGCAAAAGATTAATATTAGTTTAGTATCTCACTTGTGTTTTTTAAACTAACTATAATCCTATTGAAACAATATTTATTTCAATGAGCAATGGTTTGCAGCAGCTTTTCTTATATCAAAAAAGAATCCTTCTCGATTTCATTTAAGAATATGTAAAATTAATTAAATTTAACTTTTAGCTAAAAAGTTTGTTTATGAATTAACAATAAATATTTTTTTACTCCTCGGATTTTCAAATTTTTGGTTTGGTATATAGGAAAACATGTTTTTTTCTAAATTGAACAGTATTTAAAGCAACGTTTTCGTTTTACCTTTTAAAGTAAAGAATCTATATATTTAAACAAGAAAACGCTTTAATCGGCAAGCCGAAATCCTCACACAACAATTAGGCAATTATTTAACATTTTAATCATAGATTAGCTAAGTAATAAAGATTTAATTTAGAACGACGTACATTCAGACCAACGGATTTGATTATACTGACTAATTGGAACTAATTTCCCCTTCTCATTCTTTTTGGGCTGATATCTATTTAAATCTATGCGTTCAAATAGTTTCCACATTCACTTACAAGCTTTTGTTCAAAGCTTTTAATCCTTTTCTTACACAAGAATCTGAATCAAAATTGTTCATCTTTTTTGTTAATCCTTTTAGCACATCAAAAACTATAAATATTGGACCAAAAATTACCATTGAACCTTATTTAAAGTCAAATATGTCTTCTACTGTCTTCTTTTGTGTTCAGTTTCATTTCGTTTTGGTTAGTCCTTGACCGCCATACTCAAATATTTACAGTTCCATGCGTTCTACTCTTCTCTCTTTGTGAACTTCAACGAATAAATCAATTAACATTTATGGGAATAAATGTCGAAGAATGAAAACTTAAGACAGCGACCCCAAAGGACTATTTACAAGGTCAACCACACACAAACTGAACTCAAGAGGGCAAAGTGGGTGGGATGATAGGTTAGAATGGAATGGGGAAGGACATCGAGGACACGAGTGTCGTGGCCGTTTTAGTTTTTGGCTGTCGTCGCCTTTTGTGTGCGACTTGTCGACACAGTTTTTGCTCGCAAGTTCATTGAAATGGTGGCAGTCAATGTGTCAGATAAACAAGCCCAGTGACACTCTTGGCCATGATTCAGAGTGTCTGATCCGGGAAACGGAGCGTGAGAGTCAAGTGTGGGAATTTATAGTTGACCATGCAATTTTTGTCCCAAGATTTGCACAATAAACACCTTGACGTGCTGGAAAATGGAAAATGGGAAAATGTCAAGCGATGGGTGGTGCTACAAAGTTGGCTGACTGCACACAAGTGGTCACATTTATATGGACGATATGTTTGCCTTATATGCGGGCAGATCCCTCTTGACCCCCGTCCATCTCCATCTCCATCTCCGTTTTCGCTCTCGCTTTGTCTGCAGGACTCTGGCAGGACGTGCCCCGGCTGCAGGATAGCCCACCCACACACCCACACAGACAAACAATCGTACATGCACGCTGCCAATGACAGTTGTCAACATGACAGTTATAAGGACACTGATACAAATGTTACGGATGTTTGTCTTGGCCAGACAAGAAATGTTTGCCGCATGCCGTGAGCCGAGAGCAAAGATTGATTAAAACTGCTGATAAATGATGGCGAAGTGGGGAGTGTTCCAGCTTGAAATTAATCGAAAACAGTGGCAGTGCTTTTCCGGTTTAAATTTCGAAAGATTACTGGCGGAAAAGAATAGGAATTAGAGATTTATTATAACTTAGTACATACTTTTGCTATAGCAGCCCTAATGTTTTATTTCTTTTCTTTACGATTTAAAAATAATTAAAATCATTGCTTTTTGTTAAACATTCAAGACCATGTTAGTTTAAATAGCTTTTGTTTGAGAACATTTAGAAAACTCTGCCTTTCTACTTGATTTGACTTCAATTTATATGCTGTTGAGCAACACAAGCTTAATTTTAAATTTTATTTACAAGCTCAGCAGATTTTAGTTAATGGGACATTTAAATTCAGAACCAAGAATTGTTGCAGACTTTGGTGAACTGCGACAACAATTCGGTTTCATTTTAAGTGTGGGCTGCAAGCTAAACTGTATAAAATTATAGGAAAATTATACAGAGATCCTACTTTAAAGTTCAACAAAATCGATACCATTCGAAAGAGAACTGAGAAAAAGTTTGAGTATGATTGACCTTGATTTTGGTTGCTCCTAAGAGAAACAGTTCTTACTTAAGGTTTTGTGCGGTACTTTAACCAGAAAAAGTACCATTCAGCATTAAAGTTAGAGTTGCAGATAGCATTTTACGATTCATTCACATAACATTTACACTTTAGTTCTTTCCACCGATTCAACGATTCAGCGATTTGCAGTTTAGAGCAGTTTTAGGCAGTTTACTGTCAGAAGTTGGTAAATCCGCTTTAGTGAGGGAAATCCCAGTTAATGTCGGGCAATCAGTGCCGGGGACCAATGTAGATTCCCCCAATGCTATCGTTACTATCTCCGCCCACACAACTACCATCTCCTTCGTCGTCCTCCTCCTCATCCTCCTCCTCCTCGTCCTCGTTGTCCATTAGGCCATCGTCCAATCGGATATCTTCCGCTCCGTTCTCCTGGTTGCTCTGGCCATTGTTAATGGTTCCACCTTCGTAGGTATCACTGTCCTCCACCAGGCAGCAATCCCCGCACTCGTCCGTCGAGGAGTTCACCTCATCGCTGAGATCATCGAGCAGCGTCACCTTGGGAGCCCGGAATTCATCCTGGCAGCCCATCGGAACGCCGGCGGAGGCCACCGAAATCTTGATGTTGCAATTCGTGGAGGCGTGGCAGGCGTGGGCGTGTGGAATCGGTTGCTGGATGGTGGCCACCTGGGAGGAAGTTCCGTGAGCGGCCCGGAAACTCAGATTCGGAGTCCGTTGACCCATACTGGCCATTCCTGGTGGCATTTGCGTATGCGACATGCTCAGTGTGGGCGGTACGTTCAGTACCGCCGCTCCACCGCCTCCTGTCTTGTGGGCGGGATGGGCGTGGCCCGAGTACATCAGCTGGTGCGTATCGGAGGCCAAATTGTGGGCGGTCAACTGTAGGGGATGCTGATCCTTGCGTTCTGTTGAGTGGAGAAAGCAGAAGGGAGAAAAGAGAACGGAGAAATGAGAAATGAGAAGGGAGATGGCAACTATAAACACTTCAGTTTGCAAAGTATCTCAAGGATGCGAACACGGAAGCGGAAGTGCATTCGAGGACGTGTCGGCGATTGGTTTATCGCCACCACAATGTGCAGGCATCTGCGAGGACTTCGAGTGAATGAACCGCCACTTCGCGTCCTTCAGCACTTCCGCTTTCCATTGGTCTGGTTTTGGTTTTGCGAACGGGAAAGATTGGAAAGTAGAGGCTGCCAGTACCCTGTCTTCAATTGTAGGTGAAATCAAATTAATGAAACTGAAAAAAATGCATCTTCAATTTTCAATATATGTATATAGACCCTCCAAACCTCTGTATGTTATGTTGGTGTAGTTAAACGAATATTTGAAATTCAAAATTAACGTAACCAAATCTTTAGGTATTGGGTTTAAATAAAATAAATACTAGACTTTGAAAAACAACTTTTTTTCAAGTCGGTGTGGAACCAGAATAGCAAATTCGAAATATATTTTAATTGTGCCGAAATTCTTTAAAAATATATACTGTATAATGTTTTAATTTGACCGTTTGCCAGTAGCATAAGTTATATTATAAAATGACTAGAAAATTGTTTTTTTCTGTTTTTTTCTGTGAATTTGTGCAAAGTTCAAGATTAACTGTCAAAAAATGTGCATTTAAATACTACCCAAAAGAGATTTAATAGTTGAAATAGATTAAATAAACAAAATTACTAAAAGATTAGTGAGTACTCCCCGCTTTTAAAGTACAGTGACTCGCAGGGGTGTCGCAACTTCCGGTAACACCCTGTGGAGGTCCTGACAAGGACCATTGTCCTGGCCGCACAATGGCTCTCAAACTATGTGTGTGGCTACAAGTGGGTTCAACTGCGTTGGCCTCACCTTTTCCGCCGCCCCCTCACCCGCCGCGCAATTATCTGTTCGCAAAACTTTCAGCTAACGCAATCCAAAGGGGGAAAATCCCTCCGACTGGCGGAAAACCCGTCATCAACTCACCCAGGGGGCCGAGAAGTTTCGGCTGGAGCGGCAGCATGAAGTCGTGGCCAGTCGTCGCCGCCCGCGGCTGAAGGCTCTGCACCGCCGGCACGCTCAAGTAGTCCGCTGCAAAGTCAGAGGAGCCGGCCGGAAAAAGCCGGGGAAATGCGTTAGTGCCGTCGGAGCAAACAATGTTACGGTGGCCGAGCCAAGGCAAAAGTTTCCCCACCCCCCAAAAACAACCGAAAAGAAAACAAACACGAAGAAAAAAACCAAGGGGAATGAAAAACCCAAGAGGTTGTCGGGTTGCTTTACAAAACTTTAAAAAGGCACGCAACAAAAATTTCAACTACATAGCATAAAAAGTTGGCGGCAAGACAAAAAAAAAAAGACAGTGAAAAGTTGCGAAATCATTTTTAATATTTCTATAGATAAGTGCAAGCATATATACAGCGTTATAATTTCTATCAACGGACACTTGACGAGCTGACATGAACCAACTTTTAAGTTGCCATAACTTCAAGTGGGGGAAAATCTATTTGCAACAAACTTTAAGCACACAAAGTTTAAAGGAGGCTTAGGCAAAGATAAGCTTAAGAAGTTAAAGTCACGATATTTAGAAAAAGGCTAGCAGGAAATAAATACAATAAACAGAAAATAAAATAGAAAAGTACATCAGTAAATAAATTTGAAGAGGCATTCAAATAAAATTAAAGCAAAATTGTATTCACTTTAAATTTATTATTACATTCCAAGTAGTCTTCTCTCCCAGAAAACATTTTATTCAATAACAACATTCAGTAACAGCAATTGAAATTTCTCAATGGCTTTTCTCCACTTAACAAAACAATCTATCAAAGGACCGTCTTTTTTCGACAAACTTTTAAGTTTAAAAGACAGTCGCTGAGAAGTTGTTACCGCGAAAAGTGCTTTACTTTCGCAGTTTGTATTTGAGCTAGTAAAACAACTTTAAATATTAAAATTAATTTTCGCATATTCCCAAAGGACTTGGTGGTGTTGAGAAAAAAATGAAATTACAGCGAGTAGATGCTGGTTGAGGAATGGGTTGGGATTTTTCCACAGATGCCCAGATGCCTTTAGGTGAGTGGGCAATCGACAGCCAGAGCTGGCCTTAATTGAAATTCCTGGCCGACGGTCTGCCTTTGGCACGAAGTCTTGGCCCACCGTGGCCATAAATTGTTCAAGCCCTTGTTGCTGTACTGTGCCAAAGTGTAAAAGTGTGTGCTCGGTAAATGACCACTACAACATCCCAGAAGTAACCCGCTAGCCACTTGGCCTGCTAATGATTTAGTTGCTATTTTTGTGCCCTGCAATTTGCATCCGAAAGCGTGGAGCAAAAGTATTTTCCCCTCGAGTTTCCACACCTTGGCATAATGCAAAGCAGCTTAGGAAGCCAAGTGGGGTGGTAAACAGGTCCCTGGCCAAATGTCACCGCTCCTGCATTTCCGGCGAACACAGAAATGTCATTTCCCCCGGTTTAGAACGTGCCAAAGTATGCAACACTTTTTCTAGCTGACTTTCTTCAAAAAAATGAGGCCATTTGTGTTTTATAAGCGGCTTATAAAAAGTTTCGCTACGTGTGTATCGTTCTTAAAATAACAACAAAGCAAGCGCTTAATAATTACATTTCTACTTGACTGACACCAAAAATGTTTTTAAATAGAGCCATTAAAAGTCAGATAACGGGGTCAAAACTTGTACCACTTTTCTAAATATTAAAAATAAAACGATATTAATGAAAAGAAAAAGTGGCGGTAAAACAAATACAAAATCCTTGTCATATCTGAATTTCAGTCGCTGAACTTTTCCATGTACAACCACGTCTCAAAACTTTGAGCTCCTTTTTGAATTAGCATTTATGGCTCTTTTTTCTTTTAACACTTTTCCATGCAACCCCATTCTCCTCATCCTTTGCATACAACATCCGAGTAAGTTGAACTAAACAACTTTCAACTTTCGACTGAATTCTTTTTTCTTCCCACTTTTCACAAGCTCACAAGTGGCTCAAGAAATTAATCGCCTTGAGAGCCGCAAACTGCCTTCCGTTTTCCCCATTTGAGTCCGGTCCTTACTTTTCCTGGACAAAAGAAAAAAGAAAAGTCAAGATTTCAGCTTGCACACTTGAGCTTTTGTGGCTTTAATTAAAATGCACATCATGCAGAAATTTTCCTGACCAGGTTCCTCTCATTATTTTTTTTTTTTTCGGCAGGTTTTTCTTTACGATATTTTTACACTTTTCATTCAATTTTATTTTACGTTTGTGTGTCGGGCTATTTTCCAGAGCTTTGCTGGACGGGCGAGCAAATGGAAAAAGTTTTTCAATTTGTTTGACGATAAATGAACTTTATTTCTATATGTGTTTGAGGGCTTAGGTGTGGGCAAGAGCATATAGAATGTTTGCGTCCGTGTGGCCTTTTGAAATATGACATAAAAAGGATTTTCGCCTAGCATAATAAAAATGTAATTAAAGTTAAATGCCGAAAATAAAAAGAAGTTGCAAAAAGCTTTTAATATGCAAATAAACATAAAAAAGTTTGCCATTTTCTGCTTTGTGTTTGCTGCAAGCTCTTTTATTGACTGACTCTCGCAGTGACAAAGTTATAGCATTCGGCGGAAATTTATAGCATGCGATAAATTTTAACAGGCTTGGGGGAATGACTACCAAGAATGGGAAAGAGTTTTTCGACCCGTAGGACTAATTGCTGCAAGCCCATAGGAAGGTCTTTTACACGCATTAAGAGAAAATCCTACACTGAGAAAAATTTAAGTGTTCTTTATTTTTTTTATAAGTGAAATAATAGAAGAAATGTAATAACAATGTGTTAAGATGCCAAAAAGAAAGATTTTTCCTTCTTAGATTTTAGTTTCACACAAAAACTGACCTTATCAATTAACGTTGGCAAATAACTGAACCCTAGTAAAATGGAAAAAAAACCTTTACAGTTTTCGATTAAAAATAATCGCATCTTTAATATATTACCATTTTAAAACACAAATTCTTTAATACAGCTTTCAGCACATATGTGTGTGTAATTTCTTTTAAAATTTAAATCATTGAAAGATGTCTTAGAAAGAAGAAATTTTTTGTGTTTCTCCTAAAATACCTAAATTTATTAAATGTTTTAAATATTAAAATCAAAGTTCTAGTGCAATTTTTGTTCAGTGCTTTCACAGGCATCAAAATAAAATTCCTGTAAATGGTTAGCAAACATTTGTACACGTGCAGCATGCCAAGACAAGACAGAGACAAAGAGCGACGAAGGGACTCAAAGAGAAAGGGGCGGTGAAAGGAGGAGAGAAGAAAGAAGAAAGTAGAAGGTGGAAGGTGAAGAGGGGGTGGGGGATAGACGGATAGACACAAGACAAGACAACACTTACAACTGATGAAGGAGGGACCGGCGGGGGCGGCGGCGGCGGCTGTGGCAACGGCAGCCGAAGCAGCTGAGCCAGTGAGCGATGCCGCCGATGACGTCATCGCCGCCGTAGCGTGGGCATGGACATGGCCATGGGCGTGGCCGTGACTGTGGGCGGGCAGCGGGGGCGGCTGAAGCATAGGCACTTGGTAGGTCATTGCCGACATCGGCGTCGGATCTGCCATTATAGTCGTCGACATCGTTGGCAACGTCGTCGTCGTCGTCCTTTGCGCAGGATGCAGGCCAATGACATTGACGCCGTTCACGTTCACGGTGCCTGGGATTACCGATGACCGAACGGCGGACGGATGCATTTACATTCGGATACACATATACAACACACGCATTCGTTTACATTTCGTTACACCAACACACACAAAGTAACAATTACAAGTACAATAGACCAACATTAAGGAACAAAACTAAAAGGAAATCAATTTAAGAACAATATGCAACACCAAATTGATGGAAATATAATCAATAATATATATTGAGTAAAAGACAGCGGGAAAGATTTTTAATTTGTAAAGGCTCCAAACAATAATTAAAACATTTAACAATTAAAGAGCGAATCGAATGGGTTAGCAAATATACAACAATTTGAGTAGCAATGACTTTTTAAATAATAAAATAAAGATTAATACTCAATGGTGATTGATTTCTAAAATTAGTTAAATACGTTAATAAATAGTAATTAAGAGAGTAAAAATTCCTAAAGTCAGCGTTAATAAACAGTAACTTAGAGAGTAAAAATTCCTAAAGTCAGCTTAAACTATAATAAACTACAAGTTTTAATCCAGTGAAGAAATCTTTTAAGAGTACTCCGTTTATTTCCGTTTTACCATCACTAGACAAATGTTTGATTATTAATTGTTGGCCCGAAGGCCTGCTCCTATAAGGACCATAAATAATCGGGATTATCTCGAGTCAACATTAATGGACTTAACAGCAGCGGGTAGGTTTACTGAGAGCTGGGGAAATATCCACAAGTTGAAATTGGGAGCATTAAGCAAACCCGAAGCGATTATAAATCGTCGTACGACATTAAATTTATAACCTCTGGTGAATCCGAAATTGCCCTGCAATTGCAGTTGCTGCAAGCAGAGGATAGTGGGAAATCTTGTCTTCGGTTGACTGCACATACTATATATATGGCACATGAAATATATATGCATCCACTTAAGTCCTTTGGCCCTCGGGGAGTGCAGCCTCATCAGCATCAGCATCCGAGCATCAGCATTCGCATGTGGTGAAGGTCCTGCCTTCAATGCTTTTGAATAATCAGTAAAATGGAAATTTACCACATGAAACTCCCCGTGGGAGCCGGAGGGCGGACATTCTCCTTCCGGCGGGGACGACTGCTCCCCGGGGAATACTAAATGCTAAATAACAGCTGACTCTCTCGCCCAGTGAAGGGTGCATAAATAATAAAATAATTAAACAAGAAATTGAATGAAATTAATTCGGCCCCAAGAGCGACGGGAAAAGCAAGAGCAGGAGCGAGCATATCTGTGTGAGTGAGACTATGTGTGTGTGTGTCGGTATCTGTGTAATGTATGCTGCAAGTGGCTGTGTATTGGTCTGTTGCCCTGAGACTGCTCTAAATATCTGCAGGCCAAAAAAGCAACAAAATATGAAAATTAAATTCAATACAATTTTCGAGTGACAGAAAGAGAGAAAGAAGTGAAATAAGATCGAAGGATCCGATCTTTTTAAATACCCTCTACTCGAATTTTTATTATTTACCTGTTGATATAAAAAAATTACGTATACGCAATAAGTACAATATCTAATTTAAGTTCATAAAAGTTCTCCCCTTTTTTTTTTTTAAAACTTTTAAAAAAATTTTATTTTCAGAATTAATCAAATTTTAATGTCGAATTTAAAAAATTTAGTATATCCAAATTCTAAAAAATAAAACTGTTGAAATTTAATTTAAGAAATTCTTTGAATTTAAGATTCCTTTTACGTGTTTCGTGAATTATTTTCTGGCAGCTAAATGGCTTTTCGAGTACCGGGTATGCAATAAGTTAGCTGCAGAACTCACCGATTTTGGCACCGCCGAATGCATCCTTGAACATGGGCGTCCCGGCAGCGGGGTGGCCCACAGCATGGCCACCGAGTCCTGCCCCGCCCCCTCCCACAGGACCAACGCCACCGGCCAGTAATCCTGGCCCAGTGGCTGGCGTTTGTTTAATGGCATTCGTCCTCCCGCGATGCGGAGCAGTTGGCTCCCTCTTGCGACGCGGCTGCTCGACTGGCAGGACACGTCGTCGCTTCTTGGGCAACTTGGAGCGAGCCTGGGTAGAGTGAGAGTGGCGTAAGCCAGGTAAACAAACAACAACGGGGACAAACAGCTTCCGCGGAAGCCCAAACAAACCTGAGTGTGGGAGTAGAACATGGAGAAGTTGCTGACGATGACTGGCACTGGCAGGGCGATGGTCAGCACTCCGGCCAATGCACACAGCGCACCCACGAACATCCCAGGATAGGTTTTCGGAGCCACGTCCCCGTATCCCACGGTGGTCATGGTCACAATCGCCCACCACAGCCCCAAAGGGATGCTCTTAAACTGGTTGTCCGGATTGTCCTGCGAAAATAAATGGTTTGATTCTTTTACCAAATAGTTTTTCATTTAGTTAGAGTCTAAAGAACATTACTTTATTCATTTTCCCATTACAGTGGCGAATGAATTGTTCTTTAAAAATGTATTTATTTTTCCCAATTTATTTTTAAAAATAATAAAATAATTTATTTTAATTTATGTTTCGCTTTAGCATCAACTTAAGATGAATGCTTGTTTGCAATCCATATATTTTGCAAAGTAAAGTTTTATATATTTTAACACTTTGTAAATTTAAATCAAGCTTGAAAACAAATTTTAAATAACAAATTTGCTTTAAAGACAACACACCTGCAACTTTTCCGCATAGTAGGCCAAACTGGCGAAGAAGACAATGCCCAGAACGAGGAAGAAAACCAGCAGAGTCAGCTCCTTGGCAGAGGCCTTGAATGTGTGGATAAGGATTCTCAGCCCAGGCGAGTGACGGGTCAGCTTGAACAGCCGCATTATCCTCACGATGGAAAAGGCCTCCAGGAGACCTGTATATTCGCCCATGCGCTGCATCACGTCCGTATAGAAGCTCAAAGTGGCCGTAAAGTCAATGATGTTGACCGGCGACTTGATAAACTGCCACAGATTTGGTGAGACCTGAAAAATATTTTGAAATATTATTTCTTGCCTGCAGAAATAAAATAAATTACTTTTATTTCTCAAAGGGTTTATTGAAGTGATTACCAAAACTTAAAAAGAGAGAATATAATCCCTTTACTTATACTTTGTGTTGTCAAAGAAATAAGCTCGGTTTTTTCGATTTATGGGGGCAACAATTAATTGAATGGCAATATTTTAGATGCAAAAATAATTGGAAATATCTTTTGATAAACTGTTTCTGAAAAAATAATAAATTAAAGGGATAATTTATAGTTGAGTTGTTTTTTTTTTTTTTTGTATTTTTATTCAACTTTCAATTTGAATTTACTCACAATCAGTCTGATGAGGACCTCGATGAAGAACCAGACGTTGCACACCAGCTCCACGTAGAAGAAAGCCTCGTGCGGCTGACCGTAGGTTTCGATCCAGCCGTGTTTCCTCCTCCCGTTGTTCCCCAGGATCTTCTCCTCGATGAACTCGTTCAGGATGCTGCCGTTGATATTCCGTTTCAGTCGCTGCCGCTGGCCGCCCTTAATCGTGGCAATGGGCGTGCCCTGGCCGGGGGCGGTGAAGTTGCCGCTGCTGTAGCTCGTGTAGTTCGTCACACGAAAGGTGGGTCCTATGCTGCCGCTCGGCGGCGTGATGCTGTGCTGATGGTATTGGTGTTGCTGCGGCGGTTCCCCCATCGGATCGTGGCCGTGGGGCGGACCCCCCGCCCCCGAACCATGGGCGTCGTCGGCGGCAGAGGGCAGGTCCACGCGGAAGCCGGGGGTGGGTCTTCAGGCAGAATGATATCACAGAAACAAATATAAAGAAAACCGACATGCCAGCAACGATCTGTGAAAAGAAAGTAATGAGAAAGGTAAGAACCAATTTTTAATTAGAGAATATTAAAGTTACTTTGATTTAATATCAGTTAGATAATGATAGGGAAAGGAAAAGAATTTAAATAAAACAAAACCTAATAAAATCTTAACACAAATTCTTCATTTTAGATGATATTTAGTGCAATGTATTTAATGTAAATGTATTTAATCCGGACTAAAATTTTCTTTATTTTTAATGTTTTTTTCCTCCTAAGTAAGTATAATTACTTACCTTGGCACCCGTGGAGCTGGAGGGCTCATCGAACATGGCCCAGATCTTGGGTTTAAGACGCTGCCAGCAGTTAAGCTCGCCGTTGCTCAGTGCCTCCTCAAAGCCAAATAGTCGAGCTATCTGCTCCTCAGTGGGCTTCTCATTTTCAATATCTAGCTTATCTAATATGGCTAAGGTGTTCTATAAAGAAATTGCATTAATATTATAAGTAATTAGAGTAAAATGGAGTATAACTTACTTGCGTATCGCGATGTATGCTATAGGTTGACCAACAGCATGGTTCTACCTGGTTAGAGTCGAGTCCCCAGAATTCCAGCTCCTCCTCGAAAAGCGGTCCACACACGTCAGTTGGGTAATGCAGTTTGCCAGTTCTACGGGAAAGCAAATTAATTATAATTTAATACGAAAACCATCAGATTGTCAGCGCGGATTATGTGATGTTATCCATTTATTAATATTAAATTAATTAGCATTTTCATACATAAATAATAAAGCTAAAAGAATATCCAGCAAAGTGGAACAATTTGCTTAACATTTTCTGTTTTGATGTTTTTTGACTGCCACTAAAAGATTCAAGCCAAGAGTTTTCCTCATAAACTAAAATGCCAATTTGCTTGGCCTTGTTCTCAAATTATTCAAACTCAAGATGACGACTGGCTTGCCCAGAATCTCATTAAGACTCCGAAATGATGGCATAAGTAACCTCTGACTAAATGCTCTTGCCATCAACGATTCCCCTTTTTCGGCTCTTTCAACCGGTCTAAACTAATTCATGGACTTGGCCAAGCATGCAGGGGGCTTAGACATCAGACCGAATAATTTTATGGCCGAAACGGCACGTCTGGATCTGTGGCAGCAAATTGCGCAACCGAAAGTCTGGCAATGAGAATTGGGGAAGGGGGGAACGGGTATCACTTGCATATGCATGTGGCGGTGGGTTGGGCCAATGTGCGGATGGATATGAATGCACCTGGTAAAAAAGCAGACATGGTCATTCCATACACCCACCTCTTGACCCCCATTCTCCGGCACTTGGCATATTCATAATGCTGCCTTCTCTTGGCCATTGTTCCATTCTCTTGGCCAACAACAAATTGTGATGGTTGCGTTTCCATGTGTGTGCTCAAATTGCAGTAAATGGCTGCGAGGGAGTTCCAAAAAAGCAAAGGGATAAAGGGGGTAAGGGGGTGGTGGTGGATCGTCCTTGTCCACAGTTGTTGGCCAACTTGTAATGCCATATCAGCTGGCGGACAGTCGCCGAGTGCGGAGTATGTCCTTGCAGGGTTTTATTTTTGGATGATATCTTCACTCCCCACCCGTTTTGCAAACCTCACCTACACACACACACACACCCCACACACATACATATTCGAACAAGTGTGGTATTGTGTGCGCGCCACGTGTGCACATCCTGAATGTCCTTTTTTATGCCGGCTGCAGCAACATATTTGGCGCAACTTTTTCACTCTTGTGTGCTGTCCAAGCCTTTGTGATGGTTAAAAATCATTCCGTACCCAGAATTCCTTGAAAAAAATATTTAAAAAACGAATGCATAAAGGGAAATGTCGCAGCGCTTTTCCCTTGTTTGCGGAGCTGCAAATTGCCGCTTTTATTTCGCGATCCTGATCCTGATTACTGGCTAAAGCTGCCGCAACAGACTTTGACATTTTGACGTGACTGCCTGAAATTTGAGCGGTCATTTTTAACGGACCAACCATTGAAAATACCCTTCAAAGAGCCTTAAGAAACTTTCTGAACAGAAAAAATAAAAATGTTGTTTAAATAAAACAACTTAAAAAGGTTTTATTTTTTCATCGCCCAATTTAAAGGCAAGAAAGAGCTGTCTTGCATTGCATTCCTTTTAATGTAACCTAGATTATAAAGTATTTCTTGTTCGTTGCCAATTATTTCATGACAGTTCCACATTTTTTTTAATCTTTTAAAGTGCGCTGCAGTTATTGTCATGGCTTTTCGATATAACTCTCAACGCACCGGGATCGTTAATTGGTTTTCTCCATAAAACCCGCAATTCAGGCAATTTTTTATGCCGATTCCCCACCACTTAAATAGTTTTCGAGTTCTGAATATACGTTTCGGTGAAATCACTTTCATTCCCTCTTAATCCTCCACCTCTGTATTTCTTCTGCGTTTTTTTCCTTCATCGGGTGTGCATAACAAATATTACGCATACGCAGCGTGCAACCGATGCAATCAATATTTATAGCTGACCTCAACAAGCAGGTGAGCCGATCAGACTCATAAGAAGTCTCCGCGTTTAAATGTGCATAAGCAATTATATCGATTGGCTCTCGCACACTCGGTTTCAGTTATTTGCATTAAAAACAGGGGAGCGATAAAATGGGATATTAAACTGACTTTAAATAAGTTATTCATTAAGTGGTAAAAAAATAATGAGGAGTGGTAAGCTTTACAAAGGTAAAGAAATAATCTTAACAACAGATATTTGCTTTAAAATTATTTACAAGCTATAAAAACCATACCATTAAATTACGAAGTCTGCTTACATAATGTACCTATTCTTATTATTTTAAAGAAATATCTTAATCGAAAATCTTTGCATTTCCCCACCAGTTGCATAAATTCCAATCTTTAAATAATCGATAAACAACAATCCCAACATTTTGCTTTGTGTTTTACTGCATTTTGGCATTCTCTGCAGCGTATCTCTATGAAATCTTTTCCCACAAATTGTCTGAAGCATTTGGTGCGTACATAATTTGATTATATATGCCCCAAGGAGAGTGGGTTACCGAGAGACCCCTAGTTTGTGCCGCACCTCCTGAGGGGACTCGGTTTCATTTCCAATCAACGCGGCATGTTGCAGCAGTATTTTTTTTTTTTTTTGCTGCCATCCTGCCCCTCTTTGACACCATTTTTCTGGCCTGTGGTGCCTGGTTAATTGAGTTGGAAAACTGTTTGGCCAAAGCCCCTGGAGCCATGGGTGTCCAGGAAAACAGGCTAACGGACGCCTCTGCCCAATCAATGAAGATGAACAACCATGCGATGCTGACAGGCTTGTTTCATCCGAAAAACAACTCCATTTGCAGGTGCACCTTCAGGTGTGGATGTGGGAATAAGGATGAGATGAGATGAGAAGGGGTGTTGAGCAGAACAAACTTTCATTAATTTTAAACAACTTAAGTCATCGCAAACGGGGCAGACAACAGCTCACCTCGGCTCACGGCAAAGATAAATGAGCCCGCTAATGACCCCGAAAAACGTTGGATCAACTTTCGCAGCTCAAAAACTTTAGATTAATGGCCGAGGCAAGTTCGTTCTGCTCCTGGGGCAGCAATTAAAATATTAGTTTGTTTATTCATCGGGCAATCTATAACGAAAACTGACTTTTGATATCTTTTTCCCTCAGCTCCATTAATCAGGGCAATCATTGCCAAGGGAAGCACAAATTGAAATGCCAAAGGTGAAACTGAAGCTAAGTAGGGAAGATGGAATTTTTCAAGGAAAGTGTCTCCTCTTCCTTCCACTTTCCACTTCCCTTCTGTACTTAATGTTGTAATTACCATGCTAAGGATGACTACCAGCTCACATTTACAGTCATTGCACGTCTAAACGGCTTTCAGGAGCGTAATTAGCCCGGCTTAGCACTTGGTAACTCACCTGTAATAGTTGAGGATTTGGGTGAAGACCCCGGGGTGGCGATCGAAGAAGTATTCATTGAGTACCGGATCGTAGTTGGCCAGGGCTTCGGTCAGTCGGGAGAGACGTGTTGCGGGGATTTTCTTGAGCGTCGCCTTGTAGGTTTCATATCTGCAATGGGAACGACCAAAGGATGGGCATAAATTATGGGAATTTGCATGTCAATTACTATTCACGCATTGCGCATACGCCATGTGTGCGCTGGTTAATAACTTAACAAATTACTACGCGGTCATAACTTGCCTTCCTGATCCGACTGACCCTTCTGCGGTATTTCGCCATTATATCGAGCCATAAAACCCGACTCACTGAAAAAGTGAGCGATAAAAAAAGGTGGAACACTCCGGAGGGGAAAAACGAGAGGATATTCAAGCAAGTGTAAGCAAAACCGAGCCATAAGCCATTTGCATACATTTCGCTTTATTTTTTCCCATGACTCTACGCGGCTCCTCCTTTTTCACCCTCTCCTTTTTTTTTAGATTGTGTGCCAAAAGCATAAAGCATTAGGGTTCTGGGTTTTTTTGGTTCTGGCCAAAGTCCAAAGTGGGTCACGTAGACTTTGGTCTAGAATTTCCTTTGTTTGATTTGGCCTTTGACAGAGATCATTACCGCACAAAATTGATGGTTTTTCCATTCATTATGTTTGACAATATTTGCTGACCAAACAGAAATCAATTTAGGACATCCCCACGATTTGAATATGCAAATAGATTTGTTTTTTAAGCTGTACAAACATTTTTTGTTCCCTACTACTATGAAATCAAAATCACCTCGGGATGTATTTGTTAATTATTACCATTTTCTCATTGCACCATTTGATTGCTATTCGGGGAAAACAAACAGAGCACGTGTTAATTATATTTCCAGCTTTGCTTCACCTGGACAACTCTACACACGAGTATCATGCCGCCACATACACAAACCAAACTTAATTTATGTAATCATCCATAAAATTACACGAGCGAAAGGAGCGACAACGGCGCCCACCAGGCGTAATTAAATTCAATTGAAAGTAATTTCCAGCAAATTGTTGTAAATTTCATTTTCGCATTTATAACCCACACATTCCCGGCTCGCAACAGCATTCAATGGCGTTTAAGTGCGCTTCCTGGCCAAACGGAGCCGATTCGAGCCGAGCTGTCCACACGCGTTATATATTTTTTACGCCAAACTGTTTGCTTTCGGTTATTAAATATTTCATGCAGCTGAGGACAACAACCGCAGCGACAGCAGAATCATCAATAACCGGGTCCGCCGTATAACAATGGCTATTAAAGTTTATTCGGGCGTTTCCACGATGGTAATTGGCCCGAAAGAAGAGCAGTGGATAGGAATCAAGTCCGGGAGTTGGACAAATGTTTACTCAGCCTCAAATTCAATTGTATGCAATATTCGGATGGCATTGTATTGAATTAGTTTTCCCGCCTGCGATTGGTTTTCTTTTTTGTGCCATTTTGTTGACCAACAGTGCGTATGCGTAATTCACTTGACAGCTGTGCCGAGCTTTTATTTTACGAGCGAAATAAATTTCGAGAAATATTCTGACAAATTGGCCTAAATCGTATTTAATGAATTATGTTGAAATAAATTTCGTCCTCTTTTGGCCCATCAATCTCGTGCTTGTAATATGGCCGACAGCCGGAAAGTATGCTAAAACAATTTGTATTATGCGAGTGGTAAGAGAAGGGATGAAAAATGTTGAAGAGCCGGCAAAATGATTGAGTGGAGCGGCCAAACAAACATCAAAGTAACGATCAATTAAAACGCAAATGCTGAAATCGGACATTTCACTAATGCTTTTTGACTTCATTCAATGAAATTTACACAAACAAGGGTAGGCATTTCTCATTACATTTTTATTAAAATGGTTAGAGCAATAAGATGAATTTGTGATATATTCTGTGGAATCTTTCTGTGGTTAAAGGCATTCTTAAGTGTTTTTGTATACTGCTTTATTGGTTTTTATTAAAGCTGATAAGCAGGGGCGGGCGCAGAAAAAAATTTGGGGGGGCGGAAAAAAAATTTTTCGGTGGGGGGGGCCGAAAAAAAAAATTTTAAATTTAAAATAAAAAAAGGGGGGGGGGTTAAAAAAAAAAAAAAAAAAATGTGGTTTTGGGGGGGGGGGGGGCGCCAAAAACCCCCCCCCCCCCCCCGCTGATAAGCTTGCAGTCGTTTTTGTTTTTCTCGATTTGAAATGAATTTCCACTTGTCACGAAATTCTGAGCAAATAAGTTCGCATATTCACTACAAAATAGCAAGTCACTCTGAACGAAAAACATGAGTTTCTAGAATGTTTTATTTTTATGTGAAATCGTATGATAGTTTCTACCGGTTAGCTTGCCAAACTAATCTAGCCAAAGAGCCACAGTTCTCCTAAGAGCATTTCAATTTGATAAACAATGTTTAAATAATTCCACTCACGCATACAAAACAGACGCCACATGCAAATGCAATTAATGGAAGTATTTTTAGTTTCAGTTTTTTAATCTCCTTTTTATTGTTTTCTTTCTCTTTCTGGTTCTCCTGAGCCAAGAGATTGTTAGGTAGCTATCTTTAGTTCCATCTCACTCGGCCATTATCAGGAGCTATCGGTGTTGGCAAGTTAGCTACTCGACCTTTTTATTTACATTTTGATACATATATAGATATAAAAACGTAATTCTTTTTTTTTTTTGTGCTGATCGTAATGTAACTATAATAATATAACATAATATTCCTTTGGGGATGAACAATTTAATATGCTGTATTTCAATAAATAATTTGCAAGAGCTTTTAAAAAATGGCAAAGAATATGATCTACGTATATTAATTATTGGTATCGGAAAGTGACAACAAAGTTACCAGCAGTATAGTACATTAAGATTTTGATTTTAAACAAGATATTTATTTTTGTTTTAAATAAACTAGTTTTAAGCTTGATGATAAATTGAGTCTAAAAGAGTGGCGAATTCAGCTATTTATGGCTTTGTTGTTTGGTGGGGCCTACATCTGTCATCACTGGCGGGGCTCTTGAAAATTCCTCCGTAGCTTTCGCGAGCGGCAACGCGACAACATCGCCTCAGTTGCCCGACGACTGCTGAGTAGCTAACAATTAACGACGCAGTTCTAGTTTTGCGTTCTCGACAGTCTCCCCTATTTTTTTATCCGGAAAGTAAAACAAGATCAAAATGCTGCGCGTTTTGAAGACCGGTGCTCTGCTGCGAGCTCAAACCAAGAACTTCGCAGCTGCGGTGGCCAACTACTCCGCCCTTCCACAGCCACAGACCACGCCCGATGTCCTTTACACCGGGGTAAGTCCAAGTCCTATTTAAACTCCATATCTAAATCCAAATAAAAGTGAAAACAGTCATAAATTGTAGAAGTTATTATCGCAATCGCAATCGGAAGAATTAACTCGGCGGAAAAGAAAGAAAGCATTAAACGTGTTTTTTAGTTGACCTTGAGACGGGGAACTGCAGCTGTTATCGCTCGAAGCCCCTCCTCAAATGCCCTACATATGCGAAATCAAGTTTTTAGGATTTCCAGTTTAGGTTTCCTCATTTGTGTTAAACCGAAAAAGGAAAAAAAAAATTGGCAATTCATCGAAAAGCAAACCTCACGGCATTCAGATCACGTACACCAAATGTTTATCGGCAGCTGTAGGGGATTGCAGGGGATTAGGCTGCCTGAGCGAATCGAAAGACCGGCGACTAAAAAATAGATATCCAAAAAGCGAAAAAAAAAACAACAACAAAATCGCCGGCTGTAGTTGTTTTTGCCACACGCGTTCATTTTTGTTTTTGCTTCTGATTTTCGTTGTTTGCCATTCTCTTTGTTACGTCATAAAAACTAATTTGTTTGCCGCAAATTCTCTCTTTCTTTATTATTCTCTTCGCTTTGCGGTTTCTTCTTTTGTCCGTAGGGAAATTTGCATAAGTTCAACGAATTTGCAATCACTATCTGTTATCTTTAGTGTCACCAATTAGAACGAGCGTTTGTTGGATTTAATTGAGAGAGGTTTGCGGTTTGCAAGTGAGCCAAATGGCTTTTTTTGTGGCCAGATGTGCCAAGAAATCCCATGGAATTGGAGCATTTGGTTGTGAGCCCAACGATGTGAAAATATTGTACACACAAGTTTCTGTGAGACGACAAAATCTTTAAAATTTAAATCGAAATAAATGCAATCAAGCCATAAATAAAATTAAAATAAAAGCTTTGACTTGCCCACATATGCATTTCCTCATATATGTAGAAATTGAATTATGTACTATTTAGCAAACTTAATAATTTGATGTTCGAGATTTTAGACAATTGTAATTGGATAACTTCTAACCCGTTTATTTCTTGTATTTAGTAAAGTTAAAAATTGAAGTTAATAAGGAAAACTCTCAATTGATCCGATTTAATCATCTGTATAATAAAACAATGAAAAATCATACAATTTAAAATTAATTTGCATTTAATATATTTCTTAAACTCCAAAACAGAACATATCTTAAATACTAATTTAAGCATCGTTTTTTTCCATCTTTATAACGCCCACGAATACGGCCAATCCAAAAATCAGCCATAATAATTTGAAAAATCACCCCACCTTCCCACCCGCTTAATAAACTTTCCTATCTGGTTCATTCATCTAATAGTATTTGTTGCCATTGGCAGTTTCCACTTCTTATCACTAGTAGCTCGATTATTTGTGTGGGTCTTTGCTGTGAACATAGATAACATGGCACACTTTATAAGGTCCGAGCTCCCCATCAACCAGTTGGATCGTCTAGCCAGACCCCCAAAAATTGAATACACGTGCCTTGGTCGCTATATTTATGTCTGGCGGAAAGTTTTATATTCGCAAGCATGTTGTGAAATACAAATGTAGATGTATGCAAAAAAATAAAAATTAGTCAAACATAAACATATAGAGAACCGACTTGGGATGACGTGAGGGGTCGAGAGCTCACTTCATTTCAATTCTAATCAGTTAGCCGGTAAACGTTTCAGATTACACGGGTTGGGGGATTGTCAGATACACATGCTAACCGAACAATCAGACGATTGCGATTGAGAAAAAAACACGAACATGAAGCTAATAATAACAAATAACAGCAGTCGAGGGCTTATCATATAAAGGTGCG